CTGATTGACCCTGACTACGCTGCCTGCTCCTGTGATTGACCCGGATTGCCCTGACTACTCTGCCTGCTCCTGTGATTGACCCGGATTGCCCTGACCATTCTACGGACTGACTTACCCTTCTGACCCTGCGTGTGACCCGACTACTCTTTGCCCGCCGATTCTGTACCCCGCTTACCCCCACGGGACCACGATCCGTTACTACCCTGCTGGGGCCGCCATCCTCTTCACATCTGGCTCTCCCGGTACCTGCATACGTCCCCGGAGGTCTCCTCAGCCACTGGTGGGCCTGCTCGGAGGTCGTGACCTGGCCCGGGACTGTTTCAAGTCCATCCCCACCATCAGGGGCCCTGGTGAAAGCACAGCCCGGGCTTAGACCCCACGCTCTGAGTAGGTCTGTCAGTTGGCAGCCTGAGGCACCACCTGGCGGATCATAACAGTACCTTGCGGCCATGACAGAGCCAGGAAGTGGACCGGCGTCCCTAGAGGATATTTGCCAGCACCTGGCAACTTTGACCCAGGCTTTCCAGAATTTCCACAGTCGCTGCGCCCGACTGGAGGACTTCATGGAGTCATTAGCCCCCCTGACTCCCCCTGCTCAGAGTCCTCCATCTGCAGAACCTCCCGCTACCCCGGTTTCCGGAGCGGTTGCTACACCCCCTGGCTCCTGAACCCCGCGTTCCCCTGCCGGAATGTTTCCGTGGTGACCGGAGCCGCTTCCGAGCCTTCAGGAACGCTTGCACCCTGTATTTCGACTTGCAGCCCCGCACGTTCACCACCGAGACCGTCAAGGTGGGATTTATAGTCTCTCTCCTTCAGGATGAGCCCCAGGATTGGGCTCACCATCTGATGGAGAAGCACGACCCCCATCTTGACTCCGTGACCGGGTTCTTTCAGGCCATGGCTGTTCTGTATGACGACCCTCAGCGGGCTGCTTCCGCAGAGGCTACCCTATACTCTCTACGGCAAGGCCGCCGGACAGCCGAAGAATATGCGTCCGATTTTAGGCGTTGCATGGGAGACACCAGATGGAACGATGCGGCCTTATGTCACCAGTTCCGCATCGGGCTGTTTGAGTCTCTCAAAGACGAACTAGCACGAGTAGGCCTACCTGACTCCCTGGAAAAACTGATTGAGTTGGCCATTCAAATTGACCGTAGACTAAGGGAACGTCGGCTGGAAAGAAGCAGCCAGGGTCAAATTGTGGCTTGGATTCCATCGAGAGACACAGCTCCAGCCCCAGGGAACCATCCGCAAAGCACAGAATCAGGGGATAACCCGGAACCCATGCAACTGGGACTGGCCCGTTCCCACTTATCGGTCGAGGAACGTCAGAGGAGACGATCACAGAACCTATGTCTGTACTGCGGGGAAGCTGGTCACCAGGTGCGCTCCTGTCCTGCAAAAATGAGTAAGTCCACTTCCTTTTCTTTTACTTTACCGGCAGGAAGGGATGATCAGTCAAGTTACCTGGCCATACCTGTGTCTTTACAGCTCCCCGGAGGAACATTGTCGGTGACCGCAATCGTTGACTCAGGAGCCTGTAGTTGTTTTATCGATCTGACTTTTGCCGACCGGCAAAAAATCCCTCTCCAGACCAAAGAAAGGGGGTTCAACATCTTCCTGGCAGATGGGTCCTGTCAGGGCTCCCGGGTATGACCAGAGGTGTGTGACTGACGCAGGGAAATGCAGACTTCAGATAAGTTATAAACAATTTATTAACACTAACAATACAAACATAAACGCAGTGCAATACTAAAACATAACACAGTGCAACCAAACCAAACCACCCACAGATAACAGTACATACAGTGCAAGCGTCGTCAGGCAGGCCGGGTCAATATCAATCGGGCAGGTAGGTACAGGGGGAGCAAGCGGAGAATAGTCAGGTCACGAGCAGGGTACAGCAACTAACAGGCAGGTAGGTACAGGGAGTCAGGCAGAGAATGGTCGGGGTCACAAGCCAGGGATCAGAACAGGAGAAGTCAGCAGAGGTCAGAATCAAGCCAGGTCAGCAACAAGACAGGAACAGGGACAGGGACAGGAGCAGGATGCAGGAACAAGATACAGGGCCCAGGAAAAAACACAACACCAAGGCAGAGTCTACAGGTCTGAATGTCCCTTAAATACACCAAGCATAATTAGTTCCAGGTGTTTGACTGGCTGCAAGGTTGAGTCTCTGATTGCTGGGAGCACCCGCTGGCCAGCCCTGGTACTGCAGCTCATAAGGCAGGTGAATCCCACTATTGCTGGCCAGTCCATTCCTGACAGTACCCCCCCCCCCTCAAGGAGCGGCCTCAGGACGCTCCAAACAGTCCTATCTGGGCAAAAAGTTCCACCGCCCGGGTCTGGTAACTGGCGGATATCAAAGACTGGCACACCGGGCAGGACTCCGGGCAGCGGCACACCGGGCAGGGGCACACCGGGCAGAGGCACACCGGGCAGAGGCACATCGGGCTGGACTCCGGGCAGAGGCACATCGGGCTGGACTCCGGGCAGAGGCACATCGGGCTGGACTCCGGGCAGAGGCACATCGGGCTGGACTCCGGGCAGAGGCACATCGGGCTGGACTCCGGGCAGAGGCACATCGGGCTGGACTCCGGGCAGAGGCACATCGGGCTTGACTCCGGGCAGAGGCACATCGGGAGATTACCAGGTGAAGCAGCAGGCACCGGGCCCCCAGGCGGGGAGCTGCGGGCGGCATCGGGCCCCCCAAGCGGAGCTGGCAGGCGCACGGCCCCCAGGAGGGGGGACAGGCATCGGGGCCCCCAGGCGGGGCAACAGGCATCGGGCCCCCCGGCGGCTGCAACAGGTATTGGGCCCCCCGGCAGGGCGACAGGCATCGGGCCCCCAAGCGGAGCGGCGGGCGCCGGGCCCCCAGGAGGGGCGACAGGCATCGGGCCCCCAGGCGGGGCGACAGGCATCGGGCCCCCCGGCGGGGCGACAGGCATCGGGCCCCCCCGGCGGGGGCGACAGGCATCGGGCCCCCAGGCGGGGCGACAGGCATCGGGGCCCCCCCGGCGGGGCGACAGGCGCCGGGCCCCCAGGCGGGGCGGGGGCGCCGGGCCCCCAGGCGGAGCAACAGGCTCAGGCTCCCAGGCGGAGGCAGCGCACAGGCATCAGGGCCCCCCGGCGGAGCGACAGGGCGGGGGACCCCCAGGCGGAGAGGCGGGCGACGGCCCCCAGGCGGGGAGCGACAGGCATCGGGCCCCCCAAGGCGGGGGGGACAGGCACGGGCCCCCCGGCAGGGCGACAGGAGTCGTCTGGCGCCCCCGGGCGGCACAGGTCTGGCAAGACTGCGGGCCCCCCGGCGGGGAACAGGGGCATCGAGTCGTCCCCCGGGGCACCGAGTCGTCTGGCAAGGGCGGGCCCCCAGAGTCGGAGCTGGCAAGACTGGCGGGGCCCCCAGGCGGAGCGGCGGGCGCCGGACCCCAGGCGGAGCGGGGTCACCGGTCATCCCAGGCGGAGCGGCGGGCACCGAGTCGTCGGCACGACAGTGGGGCACCGAGTCGTCTGGCAAGACTGCGGGCACCGAGTCGTCTGGCAAGACTGCGGGCACCGGAGTCCAACTGGCGGAACAGCGGGCATCGAGTCGTGGCGGAACTGCGGGCACCGAGTCGTCTGGCAAGACGGCCCCAGGGGCACGGCGAGGTCTCTGGGCCCCCAGGCGGAACTGCGGGCACCGAGTCACCTGGCAAGACTGCGGGCACCGAGTCGTCTGGCAAGACTGCGGGCACCGAGTCGTTGGCAAGACTGCGGGCACCGAGTCAACTGGCAAACAGCGGGCACGAGTCGTCTGGCGGAACTGCGGGCACCGAGTCGGCTGGCAAGACTGCGGGCACCGAGTCGTCACTGGCAAGAACTGCGGGCACCGAGTTGTCTGGCAAGACTGCGGGCACCGAGTCGGCGGAAGTGCAGGCGGGCACAGTCGTCTGGGCCCCCAGGACTGGCGGGCACCGAGTCACCAGGCAAGACAGTGGGGCACCGAGTCGTCTGGCAAGACTGCGGGCACCGAGTCGTCTGGCAAGACTGCGGGCACCGAGTCAACTGGCGGAACAGCGGGCATCGAGTCAACTGGCGGAACTGCGGGCACCGAGTCGTCTGGCAAGACTGCGGGCACCGAGTTGTCTGGCAAGACTGCGGGCACCGAGTCGTCTGGCAAGACTGCGGGCACCGAGTTGTCTGGCAAGACAGCGGGCACCGAGTCGTCTGGCAAGAACAGCGGGCACGAGTCATCTGGCAAGACAGCGGGCACCGAGTCGTCTGGCAAGACTGCGGGCACCGAGTCGTCTGGCAAGACTGCGGGCACCGAGTCGTCTGGCAAGACTGCGGGCATCGAGTCAACTGGGAACTGCGGGCACCGAGTCGTCTGGCGGAACAGCGGGCACGAGTCAACTGGCTGGCAAGACTGCGGGCACCAGTCGTCTGGCAAGACTGCGGGCACCGAGTCGTCTGGCAAGACTGCGGGCACCAAGTCGTCTGGCAAGACTGCGGGCACCGAGTCGTCTGGCAAGACTGCGGGCACCGAGTCGTCTGGCAAGAACAGCGGGCACCGAGTCGTCTGGCAAGACTGCGGGCACCGAGTCGTCTGGCAAGACTGCGGGCACCGAGTCGTCTGGCAAGACTGCGGGCACCGAGTCAACTGGCGGAACAGCGGGCATCGAGTCAACTGGCGGAACTGCGGGCACCGAGTCGTCTGGCAAGACTGCGGGCACCAAGTCGTCTAACAAGACTGCGGGCACCAAGTCGTCTGGCAAGACTGCGGGCACCGAGTCGTCTGGCAAGACTGCGGGCACCGAGTCGTCTGGCGGAACAGCGGGCACCGAGTCGTCTGGCAAGACTGCGGGCACCGAGTTGTCTGGCAAGACTGCGGGCACCGAGTCGTCTGGCAAGACTGCGGGCACCGAGTCAACTGGCGGAACAGCGGGCATCGAGTCAACTGGCGGAACTGCGGGCACCGAGTCGTCTGGCAAGACTGCGGGCACCGAGTCGTCTGGCAAGACTGCGGGCACCGAGTCGTCTGGCAAGACTGTGGGCACCGAGTCGTCTGGCGGAACAGCGGGCATCGAGTCAACTGGCGGAACAGCGGGCACATCGAGTCAACTGGCGGAACAGCGGGCACCGAGTCGTCTGGCAAGACTGCGGGCACCGAGTCGTCTGGCAAGACTGCGGGCACCGAGTCGTCTGGCAAGACTGCGGGCACCGAGTCGTCTGGCATTGGATCGTCTGGCTCGACAGCGGGCATCGGGTCACCAGGTATGACAGCGGGCACTGGGTCACCAGGCATCAGGTCATTTGGCTCGCCAGCGGGCACCGCGTCATCTGGCAAGGCAGTGGGCACCGAGTCACCAGGTACGACAGCGGGCTCTGAGTCAATTGGCACGACAGCGGGAACCGGATCAGGTACCGGATCATCTGGATCAACAGCGGGCATCGAGTCAAATGGCCTAATAGGATCATCAGGCTGGATCAGTTCATTATGCTGGGGTAGAAGCATCCGGCTGAGTAGAGGCATCCGGCTGAGTAGAGGCTTCAGGCTGAGTAGAGGCTTCAGGCTGAGTGGAGGCATCCGGCTGAGTGGAGGCATCCGGCTGAGTGGAGGCTTCAGGCTGAGTGGAGGCATCCGGCTGAGTGGAGGCATCCGGCTGAGTAGAGGTATCCGGCTGAGTAGAGGCATCCGGCTGAGTAGAGGCTTCAGGCTGAGTGGAGGCATCCGGCTGAGTGGAGGCATCCGGCTGAGTGGAGGCTTCAGGCTGAGTGGAGGCATCCGGCTGAGTGGAGGCATCCGGCTGAGTAGAGGCATCCGGCTGAGTAGAGGGCATCCGGCTGAGTAGAGGCTTCAGGCTGAGTAGAGGCTTCAGGCTGAGTAGAGGCTTCAGGCTGAGTAGAGGCATCAGGCTGAAGAGAGGCATCAGGCTGAACCACGGAAGGCAGGTTCTCAGACGGTAGGCTCACCGGTTTGGATACTGGCAGGATGGTACTGGTTGGAAAGAATTTTCGCTTTTTTCTGGTTTTAACTACTGGGGCACTGCAAGTAAACGCAGGTCTGCAAATGAATGGAGCAGCTGGAGACAGAGAAGAGCTGGAGGATGGAACAGGGGAAGGAACAGTCGCTACAGAGGGCTTCTTTACAGGGTTAAAGGCAGGATAGGTGCAGCGAGTGGGAACAGGGGACTGATATGCGGTAGATAGCAGGGTATACTGGGCTGTAACTGGAGGAGCTGTTGGGAATACAGGAGTAGAGCTTTGAGGAGATAGATTAGAAGCAGGACTGGGTCTTTGTAAGCGGACTGAGGCTGGGTGTAACAAATCTGTCCATGTCTGCAGTATGGGTTGAACAAAGCTCAGCTTACACAAAGCCTGTCTGACCAAAGACTGCACTGCGTTTATACAATCTCTTAGTACCTGTGGTGAACATGTGGAATAACGCTCCAGAAAGTAACCCACATCATCCTCTAATAACCACACCAGGGACTCTACCTGGTCTGCACTAAATGGTGGCAAAAATTCATCCCTGCATTCGGGGGTACCAGATGAAACCAACTCAGCACAAACCTCAATCAATGGCTGCACCTCAGAGAACTCTGTGCCCTAATCTACTAGAACATGAGCGAGCCGTATACATTCTAGCAGTTCATCCCGGGTATACTCCTTCAGAGTCTGATAAGCATACTCCCTAGTCATCAAACACTAGCAGATATAAATACACAACCTCATCCAGATCCATCCTTCCCATCAACAAACCAAGATGGCTTCCCTGTGCAGCCACTTCTGGTCAGGATTGGCCTTGGGTGTAATGTCAGGGCTCCCGGGTATGACCAGAGGTGTGTGACTGACGCAGGGAAACGCAGACTTCAGATAAGTTATAAACAATTTATTAACACTAACAATACAAACATAAATGCAGTGCAATACTAAAACATAACACAGTGCAACCAAACCAAACCACCCACAGATAACAGTACATACAGTGCAAGCGTCGTCAGGCAGGCCGGGTCAATATCAATCGGGCAGGTAGGTACAGGGGGAGCAAGCGGAGAATAGTCAGGTCACGAGCAGGGTACAGCAACTAACAGGCAGGTAGGTACAGGGAGTCAGGCAGAGAATGGTCGGGGTCACAAGCCAGGGATCAGAACAGGAGAAGTCAGCAGAGGTCAGAATCAAGCCAGGTCAGCAACAAGACAGGAACAGGGACAGGGACAGGAGCAGGATGCAGGAACAAGATACAGGGCCCAGGAAAAAACACAACACCAAGGCAGAGTCTGCAGGTCTGAATGTCCCTTAAATACACCAGCATAATTAGTTCCAGGTGTTTGACTGGCTGCAAGGTTGAGTCTCTGATTGCTGGGAGCACCCGCTGGCCAGCCCTGGTACTGCAGCTCATAAGGCAGGTGAATCCCACTATTGCTGGCCAGTCCATTCCTGACAGGTCCAGTATAAGATCAGGGGTGGTGGACCAGGAGACACCACCCATCTTCACCACAATGGCAGACCATCACCAGGAGTTCCTCCGTTTGGATGCCATCGCATCTCCTCCTTTTTCCAGTCATTCTGGGGCTCCCTTGGCTGCGGGCCCGTAACCCCCAGATTGACTGGGAAAAGGGAACAATTCAATTTCGGTCACCTTACTGTTTGAGTCACTGCCACGTCCCAGGATCCGTGGTTCCCCGGTTCCTCCTGTGCTTGGATGGCGACACCAATCTATCCCAGGTTATTCCTCCGGCCTACCATGACTTCTTAGACGTTTTCAGTAAGCGTGGAGCTGACATTCTTCCTCCGCACCGGTCCTACGATTGCCCCATAGACCTCCTACCCGGATCTGAAATCTCATTCGGCCGTATCTTTCCTTTGTCTGAAATGGAATCGGGAGTACTGAGGGAATATATTGACGAAAACCTTCGGAAGGGATTTATTCGTCCCTCCACATCCCCAGCCGGGGCCGGTTGTTCTTCGTAGAGAAGAAGGACAAATCGTTACGGCCCTGCATAGACTACCGTGATCTGAACAAAATAACGGTAAAGAATCGTTATCCCTTACCCCTAGTCCCCGAGCTCCTCCAGAGATTGAGATCGGCAATGATATTTACTAAATTAGACCTGCGGGGGGCCTATAACCTTGTTCGTATCAGGGAGGGGGATGAGTGGAAGACGGCGTTCCGTACGAGATTCGGTCACTATGAGTATTTGGTGATGCCGTTCGGGCTCTGTAATGCACCGGCAACCTTCCAGCACTTTATCAACGATGTTTTTCGTGACTTTCTCGATGTTTTCGTGGTGGTTTATTTGGATGACATCCTAATTTTTTCCCCCTCACTGGAGGTTCATCGGGGTCACGTGTTACGGGTATTAGAACGGTTGCGTCAACACGGGCTATACGCTAAGGCAGAAAAGTGCTGTTTCGAACGCTTGGGACTGGTTCTCTCTTCCGCGGGGGTCGCGATGGATCCCCAGAAAGTCACGGCGATCTTAGATTGGCCAATACCCGCCGACAAAAAGGGGGTACAGCGTTTCATCGGCTTTTCTAACTTTTATAGAAAGTTTGTTAGGAACTTCTCCGGTCTGGTCTCCCCGATCACGCAACTGACGAAACAAGGGGTCCGCTTTAAGTGGACTCCCGAAGCTCAGACGGCTTTCGAAAAGCTCAAGAAATTGTTCACCTCTGCTCCCATTCTCTGCCATCCGGATTCTTCTCTCCCATATGTTTTGGAAGTGGACGCCTCAGAAAACGCGGTAGGAGTGGTTCTGTCCCAAAGGAATGGTACCAAGGAACTAATGCACCCTGTGGCGTTCTTCTCCAGGAAGTTGACACCGGCGGAACGTAACTATGACATTGGAGATCGGGAGCTCCTGGCCATTAAATCCGCTCTAGAAGAATGGAGGTATTTACTGGAAGGAGCAACACACCCAATCCTAATATTCACAGATCACAAAAACCTTGAATATTTAAGAACAGCAAAACGACTGAGACCTCGCCAGGCGAGATGGCTCTTTTCTTTTCTCGATTTGTATTCCATATAACGTACCGACCCGGTACTAAGAATACAAAACCAGACGCTCTGTCCCGCATGTTTGAGGACCCCGACGATGCAGTGGTACCTGACACCATCTTACCTTCCGGAAGCTTCCTCGCTTTACAAACGGAACTTCGCTCCCGACTTCTCGATGCTTCTGTAGGACTACCAGTTCCGTCTGGGTCACCCCTCCAGAACCACGGTGGGCTGTTTTGGAAGGAAGACCGATCATGGTCCCAGAAGAAGTGCGAACCTTGGTCCTAGGGCACTGCCACGACCATCCAATGGCGGGTCACTTCGGGGTTACGAAAACTCTGGATCTACTACGGCGCTCGTTCTGGTGGCCGGACATGATCAAGGATTGCGAGCGTTACGTCCAGACTTGTCCCACCTGTCAAAGGAACAAGCCCTCCAGGAGCAGGGCATGGGGATTGTTACGTCCATTACCTATACCCAAGCGGGGCTGGCAAATGATAGCCATGGATTTCGTGGTCGAACTCCCACCATCCCAAGGCTACACAGCAATAATGGTGATCGTCGACCGCTTCTCAAAGATGGCACATTTCGTACCCCTGGAGAAGACCCCATCGGCACCAGAAACGGCACAGATCTTCATTAAGGAGGTAGTGAGGCTTCATGGGGTTCCCGAAGATATAGTGTCAGATCAGGGAGTCCAATTCACCTCCAGGTTCTGGAACGCCTTGTGTAAAGCGCTGGGAATCAAGCTGTCACTTTCATCCGCCTACCATCCACAGACCAACGGCCAAACCGAGAGGACCAACCAAACGCTGGAACAGTACTTACGATGCTACACATCCTACCTTCAGGATGACTGGCTGACGTTGTTGCCTTCCGCAGAATTCTCATACAACACTCAGCTACGGGTCAATCCCCGTTCTTTTCCAATTACGGGTATCATCCCACATTCCTCCCTGATCTGATGCCCTGAAAATCCAGTACCGGCATCTCAAGACATCTTGAACTTCTTTTCTGTCAATAACAAAACGATTCAGGAAGCCATCGCTAAAGCCCAAGAGGACAGTAAGAGGGCGTTCGACAGGAAAAGAGAGGAGAGTTACTGCTTCAACCAGGGGATCAGGTTTGGCTGGCAACGACCAACTTGAAGATGCTGTGTCCTTCAAGGAAGCTGGGACCCAAGTACATTGGGCCATTTCCGGTAAAACGAGTAGTCAACGAGGTGTCCTACGAACTCGAACTTCCGTGGACCTTCAAGATACATCCTGTGTTCCATGTATCTCTCCTGAAGCCATCCAGACCTGATCCCTTCCCGGACCGTGAATCCAGACCTCCCGAGGCAGTCACCATAGGTGACGAGGAGGAATATGAAGTGGAGACTATCCTCAGTTGCCGAAAGAGGGGGGGCCAGACACAGTTCCTGATAAAATGGAAGGGTTATGGCCCCAAGGAGAACTCGTG